TGTGCTGCTATAAACACGGACATGCAGGTATCACTCTAATATGATGTCTTTAACTCTTTGGGGAAGATACCTAGAAGGGAAATAGCTGGGTCAAATGGAATTTCTAGTTTTAGTTTTTTGAGGAATCTCCATCTTGATTTACAAAGTGGTTGTACTAGTTCACATTCCCACCAACAATGTAGAAGGTTCCTTTTCCCCCTGCCACCTCACCAGCATTTGCTATTTGATTTCTTGATTATAGCCATTGTTTCTGGAGAAAGGTAGAGTTACAGTGCATTTCTGTAATGACCAGGGATGTTGAACATTTTTTAATGTATTTATTGGCCATCTGTACTTCTTCTGAGAAGTGTCTCTTTATTTCAGTTGCCCAGTTTTTGATTGGGTCTTTTATTTTGGAGGGGTCTAATTTTGCTTACTTCTTTATGTATTCTAAATATTAGTCCTGTGTCCAAGGAGTAGCTGGCAAATATTTTCTCGTTGCTTTGTTAATTGTTCTCTTTGCTGTGTAGAATTTTTAAAATTTGATGTGAGCCCATTTGTTGATTCTTGGTATTATTTCTTGTGCAACTGGGGTTCTGTTCAGAAAGTCGTTGTCTATGCCTAGTCTTCAAGAGTTGTACCTCTTTTATCTTCCAGTAGATTGTTTCTGTTTTAATATTTAGATCTTTCATCCATTTTCATTTTAGTTTAGTACACGGTGAAAGATATGGTCTAGATTCAATCTTTTTGGATGTGTATGGCTAGTTTTCCCAGTACCACTTGTTAAAGAAGCTATCTTCCAGCTTATGATTTTAGCCCCTTCATCAAAGATCAGGTAGCTGGATATGCCTGGAGTTGTTTCTGCATCCTCTATGGTGTTCCATTGACCCATATGTCTTTTTTTGTGCAGTGCCATGCTGTTTTTATCACAGTAGCTTGTAATATAACTTGAATTATGAGGTTGTGATATTTCCTGCTTTGCTCTTTTTGCCCAGATTGAATTTTATGATTGTTTTGTCTATTTCCATGAGGAGTGTTATTGATAGTTTGAGTGGAATTGCATTAAATATGTATCAGTTTTGGAAGCATGGCCATTTTGACTATATTAGCTGTGTCTATCCAGGGACAAGATGTTTCAATTTTCTGATGTCCCCTTTGATCTCCTTTTTAAGAGTATTATAGTTTTCATTGTAGAGGTCTTTCACTAGGTTAATTCCTAAGTATTTAGTTTTTCTTGATGCCATTGTAAATGGTATTATTTTCTTAATTTCTTTCTCAATGAGTTCATTGCTGTTGTACAAGAGTGCTGTTGATTTTTGTGTGTTGATTTTGTATCCTACTACATTGATTAATTTAGTTACTAACTTAGGAGTCTTTTGGTGGAATTTTTGGGGTCTTCTATGTACAGGTTCATGTCATCCGTGAGTAATAATTTGATTTCTTGCTTTCCTATACATATTTCTTTTATTTCTCTTGCCTGATAGCTCTGGCTAATGTTTCGAGTGCTTTATTGAATAGGAGTGGTGACGGTGGATTTCCTTGTCTTGTTCCTGATTTTAGAAGGAAAACTTTCAGCTTTTTCCCATTTAATATGATGCTAGCAGTAGGTTTGTCATAAATAGCTTTTATCAGACTGAGATAATGTCCTAGTATATCTGTTTTCTTCAGGATTTTTTTTTATCATCAATAGATGCTGAATTTTATCAAAGGCTTTTTCTGTGGCTTTTGAATATTTATTTTCATAACCACTTTTAAGAATATATTTCAGTGGCATTAAGTACATTCATGATGCTGTGTTTGCATCCCCACTATCTATGCCCCCAAATTTTTCATCCCCAACATACTCTTTACCCATTAAAGAATAATTTCCTCTTTTTCCATCCCTTAGCTTTTAGTATGTTCTGTTCTGTCTCTGAATTTGAGAAATCTGAATTTTTTTATCTCTTTAGTTTGCAGCCGTATTTTCAGTGCTAAGAACTGTACCTGATACTCATTCTAATAATTGTATGTTAAATGACTGAATGCATATTGGATAGACTTAAAGAAACATCTCAAGGCAAAATAAAAGAATAATTAAATACTATAAAGGAAACACATATGGAAGAGAAAGAAGAGATACAAAATTGGCAAATGTGAAAAAGAAAACAATTGGATTAAAGACAATATTAAAAGATATATGAATAAAGGGATTTACTAATCTAATGATCTATATCAGCAGATCAATAGGACATGCAAGAGCTCAGAAAAATAGTAACACCAAGACATTTGCTGGTAGTTTCTGTACCTGAAGGACAAAAACCTTACTAATAATTTTTTAGAGACACTCAAAATAAAAAGCAAATCATATATAAAGATGCAACTATTATGTTGACCTCAGCCTTTTCACAGTGCTCTTTTGTACTAGAGAATCATAGTACATCATATACAAAGTCCTAAGGGAAAGAAGATAGGCCCTAAGAATCCGTTATGTGGTTTAAGTGTCCTTTTAGTACTATAAAGGCAACAGTCGTATTCTGAAGTGGGCAGGAACTAAAGAATACAGCACCCTCGGACTCCTTAGAAACAAAAGCAAAACCAAAACAAAACTCTTGAATGGTAAAGTCCAGTCAACGAAGACATGGATTCAAACGAAGAAGTAGATTAGAGATGAATATTGAATCTATGTGTAGACTTAAGACAACTAGAAATTATGGTTTCAGAGTGGAAGGTGTTAGTAATCTTGACAATATAAATTCTAAACTCAATATTTTTCATATCCCATTTACTCAGTTGTAGATTATTTAGGAATATTTCTTGAAGAAAAGTTTACCTTAAGTTCATCTTGTGTGACTTGTTATTTTCCTTTAGTTAAAATCACATAATCCTAAATTCAGTACATAATATTTAAAAATCATATTTATATCTCATCCTACAATTCTAACCACATTTGTTTTTGTGTTTGTATATGCTAGAAAATGTATAATAGTATCTGCAATGATTATTATTTCCCCTCAGTGTTGTTCTAGAGGTTCTGACTAGTACACTAAAGCAAGAAAAGAAATAAAAATTACCCATGTTGGAAAGAAAAGAAGTAAAACTGTTTTCCACAGGTGACATGATGATCCTTGTAGAAAATCCTGTGGAATCTACAAAAAGCTACTAGAATTAATAAGTGACCTTAGTACAATTGTAGAATTCAAGGTCAGCATAAAAATAACAATTGTAGGGCCTGGGATTTAGCTCAGTGGTTCTGCTGCCTGCCTTGCAAGCACAAGGTCCCGAGTTCAATCCCCAGTTCCAAAAAAAAAAAAAATTGTATATCTATATACTAGCAATGAACAATTTGAAATGAAATTTTAAATTTGTACTATTTTTAGTATCAAAAATATGAACAATTTAAGGATAAATATGATAAAGAAGTATAAGACTCATACATTGAAAAATATAAAATATTGCTGAAAGAAACTAAGGGAAACCTACATAAGTGGGAGATAAACCTGATCCATACAAATAAAACTTAATAAGATGTCATTTGTCTTCTGATTGATTTATAGATAGCTTCCTTGTAATTCCAGTGAAAACCAAGCAGCCTTTTTTTTCCAGAATTCTGATTCTAAAATTTGTATGGAAATTCAAAGAATCTAAAATTACCAAGACAATTTTGGAAAAGAGAACAAAGTCAGTACTATCTATTTCAAGACATAAAGTTAAAATAATTAAGATAGCTGTGACATTGGTGTAAAGGTAGTTAGGTTAATTATTGAAATAGAACAGTCTAGAGTTAAACTCACACATGGATAATTTTTGACAAAGATGTCAAATTCAGTGGGTAAACTGTGTGTGTGTGTGTGTGTGTGTGTGTGTGTGTGTGTATGTGTTGTTGCTGGGATTGAACCCAAAGCTTTGTTGTACATGTTAGGCAAGTACTCTACTACTGAACTATAACCCTAGCCCAAGAATAATAAATTGTGCTGAAAACATTGGCTTGGGAATGCCTTCCTCACTTAGAAATTATTTGGATTTTTTCCTAAAACTTATATAGTTGTTTTGTTTTATTTTTGATATGTCTTATGTTTAACTCTTTAATCCATCCAGAATTAATACATGTGAATGATATAACACCCTAGAATTTTAGGATTCAGTAACACAGTAAATATTTTAATGGAGAATATTTTCAGGTAAGTAATAATGTAAAGATGCAGGCCAGGGATTTAGCTCAGTGTTTCTGCCGCCTGCTTTGCAAGCGCAAGGACCTGAGTTCGATCCCCCGTACCAAAAAATAAATAAAATAAAATGATGTAAAGATACTAGAAATACTTTTTTTTTAAAAAAGGCAATACTTTCATAGAAATTAAGAAAATACTTTTATATGTGTTTGTTTGTGAAACAGCTGCATATTATGAAGTTCATTTTAGGCCAGAGTTGTTACTTATTTACATTCTCAATAAATAGCCATTAAAATTTCCATCTAATAAATTATTAGAGGCATAGATTTGTATTTCCCAGTTTTGTCAGTGTGTGACAAACATCAAGCAGAAAGATACCTGATAGCAGTTAGTGCCTGCAGGTATCTTAGTTCACATGTAATGACAGATCTTTTAAAAAGTAGGCAATTAAAAGAAGATACAGAGAAAGAAAATAGCAAGAGAGAAAAACAAAGGAAAGCAACAGAAAAGTCACTGAAAAGAATAAAAAAGAAAAAAGTCAACCTTTTTCTAGTGAGGGGAGGTTTTATGCTGTCCAAAGCAATCTTTAAAAATTATCCCTTGCTGGGGATTTAGCTCAGTGGTTTTGCTGCCTCCTGCCCAAGTGCAAGGACCCGAGTTCGATCCCCGGTACCAAAAAAATAAAGATAAAAATTATCTCAGGCCCCTAGCCCTAGTGTGGTTTTGTTGTTGTTTTGTTCATTTAGGGTTTTTTTTTTATGTTGTATGTATTTGTGTTCCGCTATTGTATTTTTTCATTTTTGATAGGCTGTCAGTTATACACTGTTAAATGGAATTGAGATTCTAGCATTCATAATTCTTCATTACTTCCTTTAGGCAATTAAGAATTTTGAATCAGAAACTCAGAGAACAAGAAAAAACTCCAAAGGCATATGGTAATATGGAATGCAACCCTGAATGTAGGTAAAAGAACTTAAAGGATTGATATTAAAGTCTTATGGCTCTGGAGATATTGGAAAAGAATTGAGCTTCCTTGATTACTTTGTCTAAGTGGATTTTTCTTTCTGTATTCTTTGTTTTGTTATGTTTTTGTTTTTGTTTTTTGCTGTTCTAGGTATTGAACCTAGAGACTTGGCAAATACTAGGCAAGTACTCTACCACTGAACTATAGTACTAGCCCAGTTTTCTTTATTTCTTAAATCAGCTTTTTTAAAAAGATAAAAATAATACCCCTTATTAAAATTTAAAATAATGTAGAAAAATAAAAGATCAGTGATTTCACTTCCCAATAATATACCTTTACTAAAGGTTTATATTGTGCCAGGCACAATAGAACTATACATGTACTTTTTCTTTTTTAAGAGTGCAATTGCACTCTTATTTAAATTATAGTGGTCATTTTTCTGTATCAAAATACATAAATAGATGCTTTTTTCTGTTTAATAACTAATTGAGTATTCGGCTTATATGGCTCTACCATAAAATATTTAAGATCATCTATAAAATGTCTGGGTATTTTCCCCCAGTGCAAATATTAACACAGTGAAAGTCCTTGTATAAATGTCTTTGTGCATGTTTGTGAGTTTTTTTGCAGGATAGATTTATAGCAGTAGAATTGATGAGGCAAAAAGTATATGCAGTTGCAATTTTGACAGATACTCCCTCCTTATGTTCATTTTGTTTTGACACTATGTTGCCCAGTCTAGTCTCTTAACTCCTGGGTTTAAGCAGGCCTTGGCTTCTCCAGTAGCTGGAACTACAGGCATGAACCACCAAATTCTCCTTATGGATCACAGAACTTAATAGAGAAAAAAATTAAAGAAGAAAAGATGATATCTTAGTCACTTTCTTGTCACTAAGATACAATATCCAACACTCACACCTTAAAGGAGGAGAAGTTTATTTTGGCCCACGGTTATCTAAGGCAGAAGTGACATACAGAAGGCTGGTCACATCATGGCAGCCAGGAAGCAGAGAGTTGAAGGGACAAACCAGAGAAGGAGATGCACCCTTCCAGCTCATGCCCCCAGTGACTGCCTGATCCAGCCAGATTCCACCTCCCAACAGCAAGTCAGCTATGTCGCCCCTATGATTCGGTCACCTTCCAAAAGCTGTGCCTATGAGCACATGAGGCCTTTGGGGCACATTCTTGATCCAAACCATAACAGATGAGAAGTTTTTTTTTTTTTTTTTAACATTCTCAGGAACTTTTTCTAGCCTGATGTAAACACAAATGTCACAAAGAAACAGCTTTATGAAATGTTTCTCCAGAAATGTTTTTTTCAATTTCTGAACAGTAAAGTACATTCAAAAAGCATCAACAAAATGGAGGGAAAATTTTGCAATACATGACATAACAGGCTTAATCTTCTAATATATAAGTATCTTTTACAGACCAATAGGAAAAATAGGAGTATCCAGAAGAACAAGCCTTTTATGAAAGTGTTTAGCTTCACCAGAATGATTTCAGATGGATCACTCTGGTTCCATGATAAACAGAAGATAGGGGTTAATGAGGGTGAGAGAGAGTTGAGAAGGGAAGTCGGAAGACCCGTGATTGCCATTCTAAGTAGCTTGTCTCTTTATTCTTTTGCCTATTTCTCTTTTTTAAAAAAACATTTATTACTATTTGTAAGTACTTGTTTGAGACCAGCTCCATGAAAGCAGGGACCATGTCTATGTTGTTTACTTTTATAGCCATGATAAAGAATGTAATAAATCTGTGCTGATACCTGTCTTATGAGAAAAAAAGAGCAAAGTTAGAAATTGTGAGTACAGTGTAGTATGATTCTTTTATTTTAAATATATTTTTATGTGAAATATTATATGCAAAAAATGAATCCAGAATCAAAATTTAATAGTGATTGCCTATAGGAGGAGACCTGGGGTGGGGAGAAGGGAGATAGTTCATAAGAATTATTTGGTATCATTGGTATTTTGTGGCTCTTGAATTTTTTACTTTGTACATGTATTATTCATTCTTTTAAAAAGGTAAAAATAACTTAATGCCCAAATTATCAACTGGAGAAAAAAGGCATGACTTTTGCCAATCAATTCATGCATATAATTATTAAGCAAAGTCAAAAAATTCCAGATATTTCTCTTTCTAGAGATCTTTTTCAGACTTGTTCTTTTAAAATTAGTAAACAACTATTTGATCTTTTTTGTCTTGCAGTGTTTTCCCTTCAGTCATTGAACATGTCACTGCAAAATCAATTGCGGGAGTCACTGAAGAGCCAGGAATTACTACAGAATAAAAATGAAGAGCTCCTAAAAGTGATTGAAAATCAAAAAGATGAAAACAAAAAATTTGCTAGTGTATTTAAAGACAAAGATCAAACCCTTCTTGAAAATAAACAGCAATTTGACATTGAGATAACGAGAATAAAACTTGGTATGTATTTAGACTATCATTACAGTCACATTTTTTAAAAAAATAATGAGAAACAGATTTTTTTTTGTTGTTTTAGAATTGGAAGAAGCCTTGGTAAATGTGAAAAACTCCCAGTTTAAGTTAGAAACTGCTGAAAAGGAAAATCAAATATTGGGAATAACACTACATCAGCGTGATGCCGAGGTGGCTCGCCTGAGAGAATTAACCAGGTGAAATTGATTTTTTTGAATAACCTGTCTTTTATTAGCTGTATTTATAAACTTTAAAATAATATCAGATCTTATCTCTTTTTTATATTTTTTTCCTCTTAATTTTGCTGGTGTTTTTTGCTAATTTTTAATGTTTTCTTCTGTTCAGTTAACCTAGCTAAACGTGTTTGTTAACCATGTGCTTCTTAGTAATGGACTCTGACAAGGAGCTGAAGACTTGCATATAGCAAAGTGATTAAGCTCGCTGAAGCCAGAGTGACCTGAGTAGAATCTTAGCTCTGCCACAGTATTAGTTAGCTTTGAGGATATTATTTAACTTCTCTAAACCTTGACTCTAAAATGGGGACATAATAGGATTGTTAGGGAGCTGAGAGATAATTCATGAGAAGCATTTAGCCTGGTGAGCACTCATGCCATATATCTTAATTACTTTTCTCATCGCTGAGACAAACTACCCAATGCCCAAAGTTAGAGAGGAAAGGTTCATTTGGTTCAGTTTGTAGAGGCTTCAGTCCATAGTTGGCTGGCTCCAAGGCAGGGTGTCATGGTAGAGGGGCATCACAGAGGAGAAACAGTTCATGGTGGGCAGAAGGTAGCAAAACAAGCAAAAAAGAGATGACCACAGCTCTTTCTGTCCCTTATATCTGATCCAGGCTTCTTAGGCCAGGTAGCACTCATGCCCTTAATCCTAATACCCTTGATGCTAGCATTGCACCATGAATCAATCCCAGCATCACACACTGTAGATCCAGCCACCTCTGAAAAAGCCCCTGCTATGACTGCATCAGGCTTTGGGGGGACCATCTAGACATAAGCCATAACATCGTATGACTATGGGGATAAGTCATTTAGCCTTTTTGAGCTTCATTTTCTTCATTTCTTCAGTAAAATGAGGGAGTTGCCGCAGTCCCCCTTCAATCCCTGACGAGTTTGTTCCCAAATCAATAAAATTACTTTTCTCAACTTTAATATTATATACACCTACAAAGTTCAGTTTTCTTTTGAGATATTTGTGAAGAATTGAATTTTCAACCATTTTTTTAAGTCCCAGAGGAGAAGTTAAATTATTTTAGTCTGGAAATCATCACAGCTGACCATGTCTGTGAATGATTCTGGAAATTCATAGCTCTAAAATATAAAACAATTCTCCATATAAAACAATCCCTCTTGTACTTCCAATTGACGGACCCATTTTGAATTATAAACTTTTTATTAGTGTATGTTTGCAGTACATGCATTTTATAGTCATCTTGGAGGATGGATACAGGTACACAATAGAGCTTCTTTTTTTAATTCCTCTTCCCTCTCATCTCCCATATTCCCTTCTCTAAATCCCTTTTCCTCATTTTTCTTGTTATTATTAATCTTATCTCATGTTTATGACATGCAGTGTTTACATTCATTGAGGTTGTTAGCTTCCTGTATATAGTTTATCTTTATTCTACTTATTTCCCCTCCCCTCTCCCTCTCCCCTTGCCCTCAGTTTCCCGGATCCCTTCCCATATGTAACAGATCTATCCCCTTGTCTCCTATCCATCCTTTACTGTGCTCTTTGTTTGTACTTTGCCTCACTCAAATGAGAGATATTATATGGTATTTAAGCTTATGTGTTTGGTTTATTTCACTCAATATTATGTTTTCTAGGTGCATCAATTTTTCTACAAGTGTCACAAATTCATCCTTTATAGCTGAGTAGTACTCCATTATAGTATATAGATACCACACTTTTTAAAATCCATTCATCTGTTAATCAGTATACAGGCTGCTTCCAGGATTTAGCTATTATGAATTGTGCTGCTATGAACATTAGTTTGCATGTATCACTGGAGTGTATCTTAGGCTCTTTGAGAAAGTTACCTTGAAGGGGAATAGCTGGGTTATATGGAATTTCTAATTTTAGTTCTTTGAGAAATCTCCATACTGACTTCCATAATGGTCTTACTAGTTTACATTCCCACCAACAATCGTGGATGGCTCCTTTTTCACTGCAGCCACACCAGAATTTATTTATTTATTTATTTATTTTTTGGTACCAGGGATCGAACTCAGGTCCTTCCACTTGCACAGCAGGCAGTTAAACCACTGAGCTAAATCCCCAGCCCACAGAATTTATTTTTTGACTTCCTGATGATTGCCATTCTTTCTGATACAAGGTAAAATCTTGGCATTGTTTTAATTTGCATTTTTTCTAATGGCCAGAGATGTTGAACGTTTTTTCATATATTTATTGACCATTGTACTTCTTCCTCTGAGAAGTGACTGTTCATTTCTATTGCTCATTTCTTGAATGGGTCTTTTATTTTAGGTGGTCTAATTTTTTTTGAATTCTTTATATATTCTAGATTTAGTCCTCTGAGGAATAGCTGGCAACTTTTTTTTTCCCATTGTCTTTTCACTCTACTAATTGACTCTTTTGCTGTTTAGAAGCTTTTTAGTCTGATATAATCCCATTTGTTGATTCTTGCTGTTATTTCTTGTGCAACTGTGGTTCTGTTTAGAAAATCCTTTCCTACACCTATGACTTCAAGTGTTTTACTTATTTTATCTTCCAGTGGGTTCAGTGTTTCTGTTTTAATATTTAGATCTTTGATCCATTTTGATATTAGTTTAGTACATGGTGAGATATATGGGTCCAGTTTCAATCTTTTGCAAACAGTTGACCAGTTTTCCCCACACCACTTGTTGAACAGGCTGTCTTTGCTCCAACATATGCTTTTGGCCCTCTTTGTTAAAGGTCAGATAGCTGAATGTATCTGGGATATTTCTGTGTCCTCCTGAATTATAAACTTCTAGGAAACAGATGGACCAGTAATATCTGTAAAATATTTAACAAATACATTTGAAATTTCTTTAATCTGCTAATAGAGAAATGATGCTTTTATCAGAATAATTTTATTGAAATTTTTATTTAAGAATGGGAAGGCAAAAGACATTTCTTGTATCCTAAAACCATTTATTGAAGAAGACTGTTCTTTCCCCGTTGTATGTTCTTGGCACTTTTGTTGAAAATTTGCTATAGCCGGGGATTTAGTTCAGTGGTGCCACCACCTGCCTCACAAGTGCAAGGTCCTGAGTTCCATCCCTGATACCAAAAAAAAAGAGAAAATTTCCTACAAATCTGTGGGTTTATTTCTAGCTTTCTCTCTTGTTCCATTGATCAAATGTCTGTTTTTATACAAGTACCATGCTGGTTTTAATTAGAGTAGCTTTGTAATATATTTTGAAATCGGGAAATTGGATTATTCCACCTTTGTTCTTTTTGCTCAAGATTGCTTTGGCTATTTGAAATTTTGGTGGTTCCTTATGTATTTTTAAATTATCTTTTCTATTTCTTTGAAAATGGCATTGACTGGGGCCAGGGGTTTAGCTCAGTGGTCTCGCCGCCTGCTGCACAAGTGCAAGGACCCAAGTTCAATCCCAGGTACCAAAAAAAAAAAAAGTAAAAAAAAAAGAAAATGGCATTGGCATTGTGGTAGCGATTGCATTGGATCTGCAGATTGCTTTGAATAGTGCAGACATTTTAACAGTATTAATTCTTCCAATTCATGAGCATGGAATAGCTTTTCATTTATTTGTGTTTTCTTCTTTCATCAATGTTTTATAGTTTTCTATGCATAGATTGTTTAACACCTTGGTTAAATTCACTTCTCAGCATTTTGAGTGTTTTAGTAACTTTGTAAATGGTATTTCTTTTTTGGATAGTCATTGGTATATAGAAATCTTTTTGATATTTGTGAATTGATTTTTGTATCTTGTAATTTTAAAAATCAATTCTAATACGTTTTTTGGGTGTGATCTTTAGAGTTGTTTTTTTTTTTAATACATAGCATCATGTTGTCAGCACATAATTTGAATTCTTCCTTTGCTGGTAGGATGCATTTTACAAACAGTCCTCAAATTCCTGTGATTCAGTTCAGCTTTTTTTTTTTTATGTTATGTGGATTTTTCAGGCTATTAAATGACTTTTCAACATAGGATATTTCCGACTTACAATAAGCATATCAGGATGTAACCTCATCATAAAGTCAAAGAGCATCTAAATTTCTTTCTCTTGCCTAACTGCTCTGGCCAGGACTTAATAGTACTGTGTTGAAAAGAAGTGGTAACAATAGATATCCTTGTCTGGTTCCTGTTCTTACAGGAAAAGTTTCTAACTTTTCTTCATTGAATCTGTTGACTGTGGACTTATCATATATGGTGGCTACTGAATTAAGGTACATTTCTAATGTACCTAATCTGTTTAGAGTTTTTATCATGAAAAGGTGTTGAATTTTGTCATATGCCTTTCTATATCTCTCGAGTTAGTAATAAAGTTTTTATCCTTTATTTTGTTACTGTGGTATATCACATTTATTGATTTGCATATGTTAAACCATTCTTTTATCTCAAGGATAAATCCCACTTGCTCATACTGAATGATTCCTTAAATGTGTTTTTTAATTTGGTTTACTAGTATTTTATTGAGAATTTTTGCATCTATGTTCATCAGGGATATTGGCCTGTAGTTATCTCTTCCTGTAGTGTCCTTGTCTACCTTTGGTATAAGGTAAACCTGGCCTTGTAAAATGAGTTTGGGAAAGTTCCCTCCACTTCAATTATCTGGAAAAATTTGAGGAGTATTGGTATTAGTTCTTCTATTTGGTAGAATTCAGCTGTGAAACCATCTGGTCCGAGGCTTTTCTTTAATGGGAAACTATTACTGATTCAGTCTCCTTGTTACTGATTTGCTCAGATTTTCCCTTTGTTCATAATTCAGGCTTGATAGGTTGTATGTGCTTTGGAATTTATTCATTTCCTCTAGGTTATCCAGTTTGCGGTGTGTAACTTTTCATAGTGGTTTTTTTATAATCCTTTGAATTTCTGTGATATTAATTGTTAATGCCTCCTGTTTTGTTTCAGATTTTGAGTTTTTCTCTTTTTTCTTAAAAAGTCTAATAAGGGTTTATTAATTTTATCTTTACAAAAAAGCCAAGTCTGAAGTTTCATTGATTTTTTTTCTA